ATGTAGCACTTTTGTGGCTAGTTTACAGTCTTGGGTGTATTAATGCTGAGAGGCTAGGTCATCATCTGTGAAACAAGCATAAGTGCACTAGCAACTGAACCAAGTTCTGGTATCATCACCCAGCTATATGGAGAGTCAGAGGGCAGTGTGCATGTAGGAGATGAGGGAGAAGGGAAAGGTTGGGGAGAGAGGGACAAAAAGGGAGGTAGAAGAGAGAGAGACGAAATTGAGGGAAAGGACAAGTAGAGAGAAGAGATCAAGATCCATCACTAAGAAGCAGTTCATATCTCAGAAGCTACCTGGAAGATCTGTCATTCCCAGTTAACGTCACAGAGCTTATGCCCATATTTGAGACGTGGAAAGCTGCTGACAAACTATCTAATCTGCTTTAGAACCTAACACTCTCATTACAATTTGAGCAGAAGAGTTAGAAAAGCTATGCTTGTGTAATGCCAACACACCCTGGTCATCTGCAGGCAGAATTGAATCTGGGACCTGTGGAGCTTAATGTATGAGCCTCTACCACATGAGCAAAATGCCAACTGGCGCTGCTGTAGAGCAGACTCATTATTCTCTGTGTAAATGGTCTCAATGCCCCTAACTGGGACAGTACACCATACCCAGAAGGTGTGTGAGTTACACTTGCTAAACCACTGATTGTGATCCTCTCCTGTTGGCAGACGAAACCAGTTTCTCTAATGGGCCTGTGGATTATGCATTACAAAAACTGATACTAATGTTTCTTTTGGTATTCTAGGTCCAACTTTATTTAAAATGTTACTGACTAAAGGATTGAGGTTACGGAACTCAAAAAAATGAGATTTCAGTTAATAGTTATTTTTATTGTAGTAAGAAAGAGGGTCAGGGGCCTTAGAAATGCTGAGCCCTGGGGCAACTGCCTCTTTTGTCACCCTCCTCCTCCTGTCAGCGGGTCTACTTGAGGTTTATATTTAGGCTGGTAGGTGTGATTCCCAGCTTGCACAGACGTACCCACACCACAGTTTCCAAAGCCTCTACACCAATGAAATGCAGTAATCTCAGCCAAAGCATACGTCATGCTCTAGTAATGGAAATTAGGTGGCACAAGCAAATAAGTCTTCTTTTTCTCTGCACCACTCAGGAATGGACTCCTAAATTGCCAATCTATTACTGGCTATTTGCTTTCCCCATGTAGCTGCCCCTCTCCTGCTATGTTCTGTACTATATTCCGGAACATGGACTTTTCAAACACGATGTTACAGCATGACAAATTGCAACACACAAGTTAGATGCAAGTGTGACATCATCACGTTGTGCCATAGTATGCTGTCATTATAGTCTTTGATATAACCAGACTAACCCTTGTTGTACATTGTATTACAGTGAAAAATAGAAGCCCCATTTGGGTTCAGAGCTCTATTGTGCTGGGCATGGTACAAACCCATGTGATATTTAGGTTTTGGTCAGCAAAATCTAACAGGGCTAGCACAAGCTGACAGTTTCCCCACACACTGTTTACAGGAGCTGTCATAGGGTCAGTCCATGAGGGTCTGGTTGTAGGAGATTCAGCCTTTCAACTGAGTCCATGGGAGTCCAGGGAAAAAGTCTTCTTTCAGATACCTCCAATAGACTATGGCTCAGTTCAGTGCTCACAGGCAAGTATCTGTAGCACTAATTCCAGACTAATACTTTGCTGCTGGAACCTGCTTTTCCTCAAAATGGGCCTCAATAGGAAGTGATCTCCTGAACAGCTCTTGCCTTAAGACAAGCCCGCTGTAGGAGCGGAGGCTGCTTTCAATTCCTCAAAGTCTGCTGTCAGATGAGCTGGCCTTCTCGCTTCACATCCTCTTCCTCCACCCCAGCCCTGACATGCCTTATTATTGTGCCAAGGGGGCTTGCTTGAGTCAAGAGATAAAAGGTTCTGCCTCCCTATTAATTATTCAAAGACAAAGCCCCAATCCTGCATTTATCAAATTTGTTCTTATGTTGCTTTATGAGAAGCAACTGCGCCACAGAAGCATTATCTTGGAAAAGATTTATTTTCTGAAGATAAATATAAAAATTGCATAATCTAAGTATTGAATGCATCATGGCTAAAGGTTCAATGACTCAGATGATAATTGTGTGCAGCCCTGTAACAACATGCCTCAAAGATGAAAATTACCAGTTGTGTAAATGAATAGCTCATGAATTATTATATAGTGTGCCGGTGTCAGCCCCACTCCTGGATCCTAGAAATCTGTTCTGTCCATTATCCTGCAGTTTAGGGGCTGTGTCATAAGTCCCACTTGCCTTTTCTTGGCCTTTGGCCTTCTGTCCTTTGGCAAAACAAAGGGATTTGGGACCGATGTCCCTGACCAGACGGCGCTGAGTAAACAGTCCTCCTCAGCCACCAGCTGAAGTTTCTGGCCACCTGGGGGGGAATGGAGCTTCTAAACGCTCCTTGTCAGAGCCCCTCACCTCGCCCTGAAGCCTTTGGCAGTGATGATGTTGTTTGGCTCAGTTTCTCTGATTCTCCTTATCAATTGTTTGTTAGTTTATCTCCACCTCCTCTCTCCAAACTCCTTCTCCACTCTTCCTCACCCTCCTGCACTGGGAAACTTCTTAAAGAGGTCCCATGGCAGCCTGAGGTCAGCTCACCTGGCCCTTAATTGATTTATAGTGCCCTGCCTCAGCTGCTCCTAATTAACAAGGGCCTTTGCTGTTGTTTTTCCACAGCAGCCTTTCTCCCCTTCTATCAAGCCCTTTAACCTGCCCTGTCACAATAGTTATTTTTAATTTTTAAAAATATAGCTAGCAAATGCTTATTGTCAAAAGAGGAAGAGTCATGACAACTATGACCTGTAGGTTTGTGGAAATTTATTTAAGCAATGGTGCTGAAAACTCATGAACAAGTTTTGTGAGATTTTGGACCTAAATAATTGAATCAGAGAAAAGTAGGATTACACTAGGAAACTATTTCAAAATTACTAAAGTCAACTTAATAACTCCCAATTTAACAAATTAAAACTAGTGTGCCCACATTACAGGGAAGCTTTGGAATTAGTCCGAGGTAGGCTCCGTTAATGTGGTTGTGCCACCTCGGATTTACAGCCCCAGGAAGCATGGTGAGTAATGAGTTTGAATTACTCTGGGGAGTCATTATTTCAAGGTAGTGGCACCAGTATCCACGCTAATGTTATTTCAAAATAGCCCTTTCAGAATTAACATTACACTTGATGAAAAGCAAGAGGACAGATTTTGAATTTTGTGGCCCATTATTTTGAAATAATGGGTTTGGTAGTGTGGACTCTCCACTTATAAATTTGACATTAAGGGGGTTATTTCAAAATAAAGTCCTAGTGTAGGTCAAGTTTAAGGGAGCTCAGTAGGTCATCGAGTCCTATCTCCCACATGTAGGCACGTCTAAGTATTCTGTAGATTATTCCCGACCAATGTTTGTCTAACCTGTTCTTAAAAACCTCTAGTGATGGAGATTCTACAGTCTTGCTAGGCAATTTGTTCTAGTGCTTTTCATTACCTTTACAGTTAAGATGTCTTTTTTCCAATGTCTTACCTAAAACTCCCTTGCTGCAATTTAAATGATAGATTCCTTACAAGACTTGCAAACATGCAAGACTGCTACATCCTAAATAGTGGAAACTTTGCAAAATCAGTTGTTGTAGCAGAATGTCCTGCAGAATGAGGATTTTCATGCGTTTGGCCAATGCTGAAACAGAACCATAAAACTGGCTGCCTGTTGGAGCTAACCATGGCACCAAAACCATGACCCAAACTGTGTTCCCCAGATTAGCATGCAGAGTGATTCCTTTGTTCCAAGTTCTCACCACTTGCATGGGGAAAAGGCACTGATCTGCCTTTGCATTAAAAGGCCTCTGCCATATTCCTGGATTATATAGGAGGTTACGTTGGGATATCCCACTCTGGCCTTGTGAAGATTGTCCAAAACAGCCTATTTTGCCTTTCGCACAAAGTACCCTTTGCAGTGGCAATGCCTCCTTTGGGAGGGCTCAAAGAACAGCAATAGTTGGAAATGTTCCCTCTCTCTCATGATTCCATTGGAGCTGTGCTTCTGTGGTGGGTATGCAAAGAGGATTGTCAGGGAAGTAAGAGAGACAGTAGAGGGAAGGGGTGAAGCTGGAGGACAGCTAGTGGGGGCATGGTTATAAAGAACTGACTGAAATGGAAGGATTGTAAATATGGTACTGTAGTTGCTCTTATAGCCATGTATTAAATACTACACTGCACTCAGCAGCCTGGAGGGGCAAGTGGGATATCACTCCCCTCAGTTGCCTATTGAAATTCTTTATGCAAAGCCCATTTACTCAGGCTTTGTTCTGGAGACTAGGAGAGACGTGTTCTCTCAACGAGGGATAGAATGGTTGATAATATGATTATTTAAATGGCTGATAAACAATGTTCAGACTCTTGAAGGAAGTTTTGAAATGTACCCTGACTTTGACAGAAATTGCCTCCTATAAAAGGATCATTTCTGGAACCCAAGATAATGTTGAAGATTTTTGCCATATTTGGGGATCCTGCCATGATGCAAAGCCAGCTAAACGCTCATTGTATAGAGCTGTTTATACATCCTCATTTACATTTCATTTCATACTCTTTTTTTTTATTTTCCCCAGATATTTATTTTATTTTTTTACACCTGTATTAATTTTACTCTGCTATTTTTTTCAAAGTAAAAGTATAAATTAGCATGCTGATAGGTAAACATGTTCAGTTAAGAACACTGAAACAGTGAAGTGAGACAGGAATGAATAGTAGCCAAAAAAATGCTTTTCAGGGTTGCTAATTACATTTTTCCCCCTTTTTATTTTCAGTAAAAAACAGCAATAATAATAGAAAAAGAAAGAGAAACGTAGTGTCACCGAATAAAAATAATGTTTCCTATGATGTGAGCTAAGGATTGGCACTGACCAGATTCTGTTTAATGCCATAAGTGGCATAGGCAGCCTTCCAATGAAACAGAAAAGCTTTTATTTCTCTTTTTTTCTCTCTCATTACAGATGGATCCAATTCAGAAAGCTGTAATAAATCATACATTTGGGGTTCCTCTCCCTCATCGAAGAAAGCAAATCATATCATGCAACATTTGCCAGCTGAGATTTAATTCTGATGTAAGTTTACTATTTTGTATTAGTTTAAAAATATGCTTTGGACTACACTGGATGTGCAATGAGTCTTTTTTCTGTGTGTATTAATTTGAGTTTAAATGAAATATAATGATTTTAGACTGTGGATCCATAGTAGATGAGTCTGCAGGGCACTGCACACAGAACCAATTACTTGGTACTTTATACACAGTCACTCAGAGTCTCTTCTCAGTTCCATTCGTGCAAGTTTACAAATATTGGTGGTTCTGCACAGAATATCAGTAGGGGCAGGACTGATCCATCATCTTTAAAAGGATCAATGTAATATCTAGATCCCAATGCTTCCACCAGTACAAGATATTTTGGCTCAATTATTTTTCCTTTAAACACCGGAGGCACTTCAGCATTATTAATAACGCTTGGCTGTACCTCTTCTGCCCATGCTCCAAAATCTGTACCTACAATAGCATAAACAGATGTGGCAGTTTGGTGCTCCTGTCCTATCTGCTGCAATCCTAGTAAACAAAGGCTACTTTCACTATTTTGTTCCCCACCTCGTTCCCAGCCAAATGATGGGAGGTGGAGGGGACTGCTCCCAGCCTGCAGACTCTCACACTGTAAGGAGAAGAAGCTCAGAGTCTAGATGGTTTGTTGGAACTTCCACACCCTCACATTCTATCCTGGACTCCTCCCCATACACCTCCATAAGGCAGGTGAGTCATCTGTAGAAATTGGGACATGACAGATGGGACCCATCCTTACCTATTTTTCAGAGATAAATCAAAATATCCCACCATCCTTTCCACTGGTTCAATGAGCCTCTAAATGAAATAAAAAGTTCTAGCTTCCCATTCCATATTCATAAGTGGCTAATAATGGGCAAGGAATTTGCTATCCTTTCTTCTTTCCAAGATCTGGGCTTCTTCTCCATTTATATGTTAGCCAGTGAACAGCACATAGGGTTCACACAGGCTAAGACACAAAAGATCCCCCACTAAAAAAAAGAAAGGATATCTGAGGGGACACAGACCACACAATACAAACAAAAATGTCAAAAGTGTTCCTGATTCACATTACCCACCCTAAGATCCAGTTCCTCTCCCAAGGAAACAGAGCTCTTATTCCCAAGTCAGAAGGAACAGATAAGGCTCGTTACAAAGGCTTATTTAAAAGAAAGCAGGTGGGAGATGCTAATGAGATCCAGGCAGAGGGAAGAGGATGAACAGACTGAAGCCAAGAACAAACATCTCCGATCCAATCCCCTTCTTTTATCCTTTGAAGGTGCATGTAGACGGAATTGGGAAGTGCCTGACAAAGGAAAGAGGCTTAGCTGGCAAGCCCTGGAATACTGCAGGTTCATAGAAACAAAATGTTCTCTTCCATTGGCACTGCATCCCTCCTGGAGGCTCTCTCACATGAGTGGATTTGGCAGAAACTTATCAGCCTGTTCCAAGCAGGCCTGGTCATTGACAGTTTCATTTGTTTGCCTAGTAAAATAGCCCTACCAATAAAATAGGCTAACTTTTGATCTGCTATCCAATTCCAATGTGCTCACAACAGTGTTGGTAGTGATAATAGGCTGGAAAATGTAGGTGCCTATTCTTAGCTACCATACTTGTCGAAGTGTTATTCCCAAGGACCTCCTCATGAGAAGTAATTCAGAGAACTGCTTGTTGCTTCAATAATGCAGGTTTGTCGTAAATTTTAAGAAGGGATCAGAAATCTTTTCAGTACATGTTGCTCAATAGGGAGTAGGATAAATTCCAGGAAGCCTAGTGTCTTCCTGTTGACGAGATCTAGACAATAATCTTCATTGTCAACTGAGTGTCAGGCATTCATCTTTACTTACAGCTGTGGATCTCCTAGTTTCATGCATAGATTATTCCCTGCATACATACAAGAGCTTTGTCCTACACTCCTGGAACTATTCCCATGCAAAGATGGGTAAAGACAGGGCCTTTCTTACCTATACACAGAATATACAACTGCATAAGGCATCCAGAAATTTGGGGCACCACTGGGTCTTCATGTTCACCCACCTGCCTCTTCCTATCCCTGTTCTGTAGCTCTGCTTTCTCCAGAGAAACTCTAGTTAAGTTAAAAGTGAAAAAAACTGTCAGACCTATGAGCAGACATCAAAACTGAGAGAGAGCCATTCAAGTGTTAACGAAGCCATTTAATAGGCATTTGCAAATCCCAGCGATATACTGAATGTATTGTGTTAGTTTACAGGATCTTAGCTTAAAAATGTGCTTTAAAAATATTTTATTAGTATGTTGCTGAAGATTATAAAATCACATTTCTAAAAATATTGTCATTCACCCAACCTCAGTCTGCTTCTGGGCATATGGGCAGTTTAATTGTCCTTTACAGGGCCCCATAAATCCTAAGAACGTCCCTGGGTAATAATACATTCAGAGTTATCTGGCCTCTCCATGAGTGAAAACAGTATATCTAGGATCCTGCTTTCATAATCCAAACTCTGGAATCCTACTGTGGACACCAAGTTTTTCAGGATGGGGGTCTCACTTGGGGCATAGTGACACAGGAGGGCATTGGCAAAGTCAATGTGGCTTTAGAGAATCATTAACTCTAATGATCACATCAGTCAATCAGGCCCTTCAGGTTCTGAGGAGGGAGCATGTCCTGGTGGAATCAGACAACATGATGTGGTATATATTAATCTGCAAGCAGGAACAAAAACCTCAAGTCTCAACACTGTAATGATGAAATGCATCCTTTCCTGGGAAGACTGCCACATACTCTGCATCCAGATGGCCCACATAAAAGGGACACAGAACACACAATTGTACTGGTAAAAGTCATTGGCAGACACTCGACTCAGAGTGGTCCCTGAACTGAGACATATTCCAGCTGATTGGACGTAGGCTTTCCTCAGATGAAATTGTTCACACAACCATTTGAAATCTGATATAAAACATCTTTGCTATCAGGGAAGCAAACAATATGTCACTGGGAGCCGATGCTAGCACACAGATGTCTGGATGTGCTTTTATAGTCTTCCTCCTCTTCTGCATCTAGGAAGAATAATTTAAAAGATTAAAAATGGATGATGCAATGGATAGTCTCAGTCTGAGGCACGTGCAGCTGCAAATAAACATTTGACAGTAGCTTTTTGGAAAGACAGCTGTAAAGCAGATGCCTGGTCATGTCATAACACCTTTAAATGCTACAGTCTTGAATTTCAGGTCTCTGGAGAAGCATCCTTCCACAAGATGATGCTCTATTGTGTGATCCCAAACTGGATAATGCCACGAATTTTAAGGAAGGAAGGATGTGTCTACTTATCTCATCCTTCTCCTGAATATTCTCCTATTTTTTATTGCATCTGAAGTGTCTGTGACTGAGGTAGAGGTCAGGGCCCTTAATGGAATTGTTGTTACCTAATGGTTTTTTCTTCGGAGTCATATCTCTTCCTTCTGGTCCACCAAGGCTCAAAGCTTTGGGTATCTTTGTGATATTCTTTTTTCGCATCCCAAAAGCTGGGAGTTGGTGACAGGGGGTGGATCACTTCAATAATTGTCCTGCCCTGTGCATTCCCTCTGAAGCATCTGGTACTCTTGGAAGAGAGGCTACTGGGCTAGATTGACCATTGGTTTGACATACAATGGCCGTTCTTGTATTCTTATCATTGTTGAATTATAGAAATTGTTGTACTGTGGCTTTAAAAACACTGGTACGTATTCAGTAATTCATTATGCTATGGTAAGAACTAATCAGGCTTGTGAATGGAATGAGCACAGAAAAGCTCCACCGCCCCATGGGTAAGTCTGAATTTCTTTCAATATTTGGCATAAGAGGTGCAGAGTAAGGTTATGTTTACATTGCATCTGGAGCGAGCTTCCTGGCAGAAGTTCACAGACTCATGCAAGTGGATTAAAAACAGCTGTGTCGATGCTGCTTTGATGTTGTGGCTTGGGCTGGAGCTCGAGCTCTCAAGCACCCCCTGCTGCTCCCCAGCCTCCTTGCACTACTCCCAAGACTGCAGACCCAAGCTAGGAGGCTTGCTTCCAGAGGCAATGTAGACAAAAATGTGACAGTTTGGGGGAAAGGTTGCCCTCAGAAAGGAAGCTTGGTAGTAATGTAATATGGCAATGGCAGATCTACACCTATAGCAAGTTTCTCTTCTCTTTTGAATAAACATTTTCTCTCACTGAACACTCCTACCCTTAACTTTCACACCACATTTTGTGGAGTGTAATTTAAAGACATAAAAACAACAAATAGTTTTCAATTCTGAGAGTTAGACCTTCCTGGCCATTCTACCAATAAAACTTTATTTTTAGATCGCAGCAAAGGGATTTATCATCAAGTAATGAATAGAAACACTGTTTACTTACTATAGGAGGGTACTATAGAAATGTTTATAGTAAAACTGCTCTTTGGGGTTGTTTTAATTTTGGTCCCAGAAGCCAAATTGTCTTCCTCTTTTGATAGATTTCTTTTAGTGCAGAAGGGCTTTTTTTCAGGTTGCAAGGTCACTACATTCCTTTCGTCCCATACAGGAAAAGGTCACATCAATATCTTCATTCTTGCCACGGTGCCATTCCAAGAAAGCACTTAAGCACATGCTGAGCTGTAATCACACTAGTGGCCCAAGAGGTCAGTTGTGCTCACTGTCTGAGTACTTGGTGCCAATTCAAAAGAACTGTTAAATACATGCTTGGCTTTAACATGGGGTTAGGACCATTAAGTCTGTGACACTAAATACATGCTTAAATATCTTTCTGGATTGTGATCACAGTACAGTAAAACTCCAATAGTCCAGCATCCAATAGTCCGGCACTCCCGATAGTCCGGCATCAAAATGGCTAGAGCCTAGTGAGTGAGCTTCGGCAAAAAATGAGTCACAAGGTAACAGCGGCAGCAGCTGAACTGAGCAAAAAGGGCAAAAAAAGGCTTAAAAAAACTAAAACATTACAGTATACTGTATATAGTATGTACAATAAAAAGGGTTAAGAACACCTGCTTATAGTACCTCTTGATAGTCCGGCATATCTGAT